GAGAGAGGAGGAGTGAAAGAGTGTGTGTGAGAGAGAGAGAGAGAGAGAGACAGAGAGAGAGAGAGAGAGACAGACAGACAAACAGAGAGACAGAGAGGGAGAGAGAGAGATAGAGAGAGAGAGAGAGGTGAGGAAGGAAGCAGGGCGGAACGGAGAGATACTGAGGGAGATGCGACATGTTGAAATCCATGCTTTAATCTTTGTTTCGGACGTGCAAGTACATGATAGAAACAGTGTCTGTGGGGCACAGCTGTGCTCTTCGCTATTGCGTACAAAAGATAGGGCTTCGATTCCAAAGTGATGGAAGTTATTTCATCATTTATCTTCTTCTGTCTTCACGAATGTTGTACCCAACTCATCTCAGATTAGCCCCGGCAGATAAAACATGAGCAGCCCCCTTCCGAAATCGTCTAAATTATATAGATGGGAGCGAAACTTATCATGCTTTATTTAAACGTGTTCTGGGCATACATCATTTACAAGGGTAGCACATGTCACACGCTTTGCAGAAATAGATGTTACAAAGACAAGAGTGTATCTTCTGTTCCTAACAACGATCGTGGACTTTACGCACGTTCTGTCACTCTCCAAAAGACATTGTATAGAAGAGGAGCTCAATTTCGGCAAGCTCAAGCATCCTCGAAGGATTTCTTTACAGAATGCATTGTCGTGAGTGGGCATAATTATCACAACAACGTGATCTGTGTGGGGATGAGGAGTCCTTGTGTCTTTGTGCAATGTAAAACATGTCTGCTGCGTCATTTTGAGATGCTTTTAGCGCTGATATTTCTGTGTCAAGAGATCTCAAAGAAAGGAAGAGAACGAAATTAATCATTTTTTCCATTGTACAAAGACAAACTTTCTCTGTAAATGACGCAAAAGAATTTTTTTTTCGGAATACGTAGTTTAAACTATTTTTTTTAGGTCAAACAACACGTCAGGTTATGATTTTTTTTAAGTACTAGATTCTATGGTGTCATCAACATTGCAATATGTTGAGAGTCTTTCCATAATTGTGAAACAATTTTAAACTTTTGAATTTACATGTTCTTAGCTGATGAAAATGTTCTAACTGTCGACAATGAAACTATTCCCATAATTTGTGTGCCTCGGCTATTGTCTGTATATTTCTGGTTGTCACACACGGTGCTGTACAAAGCCAAGCTAAAAAAGAAGAACGCTTTAAATCTGTGTGTTTTTGTCGGTTGTGTGTGTATGTGGCTTTTGTTTGTTTGTTTGCTTGTGTGTTCGCGTTTGTGTGTGTGTGTGCGAGTGCGTGTGCGTGTGCGTGTGCGTGTGCGTGTGCGTGTGCTTGTGCGTGTATGTGTGTGTGTGTGTGTGTGTGTGTGTGTGAGTGAGAG